AGGATGAAACTAATCCACCTAAATGATGGGAGACTCAAGAGAATAGAATCACTATATTGGAGTCTAGAATGGTTACTAATCAAGGTTATGTGGAGGAACTATTAAAGATTCTGACAGGCAGAAATGGGGAGCAGGAGCATTCTACTAATGAACAGGTACAATCTCCTGATACTTCTAAGAATAAGGACAAGAATCCAGTTTTGGTGACTGTGGTGAATGATAAGTCTAGATTTACTTATAAACCGGATGAACCTGGGATATTAAAGACTAAACCTGATGCTTGTTTAGTTCTTAAGAACAGTTTGAGGCCTGGAAATCAAGTAGGTGAAAACAGTGATTCTAGATTTAATGTGTTTGGAGTGAAAGCTGAAAAAAGGGGTCAGGGGGTTCAATTAATAGTTATGGAACTATGTGGCACAGACCTAAGGTAGAACTGTCATTTTTTGAAGGGGTTAATCCTAGGGGATGGATTCAAAAATGCCTGAAATATTTCTCTATTTGTAGTGTTCCTGTTGAGCAAAGAGTAGAGGTAGCTACTATGTATTTAACAGGCAAAGCAGAAATATGGTTTGATGGGTATATAATGCAAAAGCACCATGTAACATGGCATGAATTTGAAGTTGATATCTGTCACAGATTCGATGACATATCTTTTTCTGATATTGTAGAAGAGTTCACTAAATTGACTCAAAAGGGGTCAGTGGAAGAGTATCAGGAAAATTTTGAGGAGTTGCAACCTTATATGTTGTTGCAGAATCCTACTTTAACTGGGGAGTTTTTTGTATCACTTTTTATTAGTGGTCTAAGAGATGACATTAAGCATAGGCTCAAAGCTTTAGATCCTAAAAACCTGTTTGAAGCATGTAAACATGCCAAGCTATATGAACTTTCTATGAAATTTGAAAACAAGAGATTAAGGCCTTCTTTTAAAAGCCCACCCTACCCAAACCCCATATTTACATCTAAGACAAATATTCTGCCAATGCCTACAAAGCCTACTGCCTCACCAAATCCAAAACAAAATCTTTTGGATTATAGAAGGCAAAATAATATTTGTTTCAAATGTGGTGAGAAATATCTACCAGGCTATCCGTGTAAAAACAAGCAGTTAAATATGATGACTGAAGAGATTGACACTTCTCCTTTAGAAGCTGGTCCTACTGATACAGAACAGTTCCAGCAGTCAGAATATGAAAACCTAGAAATTTATATGAATGCCATTATTGGTTGTATTGGTCATAATACATTGAGAATTCAAGGTACTATTCAGGGAAGACCCTTGAATATCTTAATTGATAGTGACAGCACACATAGTTTCTTGACTCCTAAATGGGTTGATGCTGGTATACAGATTACTACCCCTAATCCTCTGGCTATCACTATGGCTAATGGCCAACAACTATTCAGTTCTGCTAGATGCAACAAGGTAGAATGGAAAATGCAGGTCATACTTTTTTACATGATTTTAGGTTGGTTAAATTGGGAGGAAGTGACATGGTCTTGGGAGTTTATTGGATGAAGCTATTTAGTCCAATATTAATGGACTTTAACAACATGACCTTAAGCTTTGACCATCAAGGGGATCAGATTTGTATTCAAGGCCAACAGCCCTCTAATGAACTGCTGCAAATTTCAGGGGCTACACTACTTAAAATGTCTGCATGAGATTCTGATATTTTGGGCCATGTTATCTTATTGACTATGGAAAAAATTCTACTAATATTCCTATTGAAATTCAACATATGTTGGAGCAGTACAACACAGTTTTTGTTGAACCTAAAGGGCTACCTCCACAGAGGACTCATGATCATGCTCTTCCACTCAAATCTAATGCTACACCTATCAATTTAAGACCTTACAGATTTCCTTACAATCAAAAGGCTGAAGTGGAAAAACAGATAGATACTATGCTTTCTTCTTCTGTTATTCAGCCTAGTAAGAGTCCATTTGCCTCTCCCTGCATTCTTATCAAAAAGAAGGATGACACTTGGATATTTTGTATGGATTACAGAGAATTAAATAATATGACCATTAAAGACAAATTTCCTATTCCTATAGTGGAAGATTTACTGAATGAGTTGCATTTGGCAGTCTACTTTTTAAAAATAGATTTGAGGTTAGGTTATTGGTAGATCAAAATTAAACCTGAGGATATTTACAAGACAACCTTTAGAACTTATCAATGTCATTATGAGTTTAAGGTAATGCCTTTTGGTCTTACTAATTCCCCTGCTACATTTCAGGCTCTTATGAATGAATTGTTCAATTCTTTCCTTAGAAAATTTGTTTTAGTTTTCTTTCATAATATCTTGGTGTATAGCAGCAGTATGCAAGATCATATTAAACACTTACAGCTGGTTTTGGAAGTTTTAAAGGTGAATCAATTATTTTCCAAATTGTCCAAGTGTTTCTTTGGACAGACTCAGGTGGAATATCTTGGTCATATTATTTCTGTTGCAGGGGTATCTACTGACCCTAGCAAGGTGGAAGCTATACAGAATTGGCCTAAGCCTAAAACTCTTAAATCTCTCAAAGGATTTCTTGGGTTAACAGGCTATTACAGGAGATTTATCAGAAATTATGGCATTATTAGTAGACCTTTGACACAGTTGTTGAAAAATGATGGATTTCAGTGGACTGTTGCTGCTTATAAGGCTTTTGAAGATCTTAAAATAGCTATGTGTTCTGCTCCAGTGTTAGCCTTACCAGATTTTTCTAAAACCTTTTATCTGGAAACAGATGCTAGTTCTGGAGGTATAGGGGTTGTTCTATCACAAGAAGGAAGACCTATTGCTTATTTGAGTCAAGCCCTAAGTCCTAAAAATTCAGCATTATCTATCTATGAAAGAGAATACCTTGCTATTCTCTTGGTTGTTTCAAAATGGAGACATTATTTGGAGAGTAAGCCTTTTATTATTAAGACTGATCATGAGCCTCTTAAATTTCTTCTAGAATAGAAGTTGACTACCACTATTCAAAAGAAAGGGTTGACAAAGCTCTTGGGATTGGACTACACTATTCACTATAGAAAAGAAAAGTCCAATGTTGTTGCTGATGCCTTATCTAGAAGATGGGAGGATCAGGCTACATGTTTTGCTATGGGAGCTACTATTTTCTTACCTACTTGGGTTCAAGAGGTGGAAGAGAGTTATAAAGGTGATAGTTTAGCTCAGTACTGGATTTCAACTCTTACTATTAATCCTACAGCTGACAGTAAATGGAAATATTATAAAGTTGTCCTTAGATACAGTGGTAGAGTTTATATTGGAGCTCATGGCAGTCTTAGATTGAAGGTTATTAAGACCTTACATGACTCTCCTCAAGGAGGACATTCAGGTGCACAAGGTACTTATTATAGGATTAGGTCATATTTTTATTGGCCAAATCTTAAAACTATGGTTGTTACTTATGTGAGAAGCTGTGAAATTTGCCAGCAGACTAAGGTTGAACATGTAGCAAAGCCCGGTTTGCTATAACCCCTTCTTGTTCTTAATCATGCTTGGGAAATAATTACTATGGATTTTATTGAAGGTCTACCTACTTCATTCAAGAAAAACTGTATTTTGGTCATTGTGGATAAGTTTACAAAGTACATTCATTTTTTGTCTTTAGCTCACCCTTATTCTGCAGCAGACACTACAACAAATTTTCTTATTAGTGGCATCTAGGTTATTGTCACTAAAACTTCAATTTATGTCACTAGATGTATTTTGTGACGTAAAAGTCAATGTCACGACGATCGTCACCTTAGGTGTGTCACTAAATGTCAAAAGTGACGATATATGTGTTATCGTCATGTATTGTTAAATATATAGTGACGATAACGGATAACGTCACAGTTTAATTTGCCTTCAGTAACAATTACTTTTGTCACCAAATGATGTACATTTTCGTCATTAATAAACCATATCGTCACCAATAATACAATAATTTCATTGTATATGTGACGAAAAGAAAATTGTCACATTGTTAGTGACGTAGTATATCGTCACCTAATAGTTGCATGGATGACATTTAAATATAACGTCACTATATGATTAATATTCAATGACAACTAATTATGTCACTAAATTATGTAAAATTTCGTTATTGATGATTTATATCGTCACGGACAATACATTAAAATCAACCTATATGTGACGAAAGAGATATTGTCAAATTTTTAGTGACATAATATAAATGTTACCTAATAATATTATGAATGACGTTTATGCATAACGTCACTTTATAATTTATATTCTATGACAGTTTGTTACGTCACTAAATTAAATAAGATTTCGTTATTCATAATTTATATTGTCACAAATAATGCATTAAAATCAACTTATATGTGACGAAAGAGATATTGTCACATTTTTAGTGACATAATATATCATTACCTAATAATATTATGAATGATGATCATGCATAACGTCACCATATATATTGTCACCAATATAGTGGTAAAACTAAAATTTGTCATATTTTTAATGACTATATATATTAAAATGAAATTATTTATATAAATCTAAATAAAAAATAGTTCACTTATTGCAAAATAATAAGATTTAAACAAATATTTCACTAAAAACATAATAATTTCATTTTTATAAATATAAAAATGTTTAAATATTTACAGAAAATAAAAATAATATGACTTATGGAATATTTCGTTGTAGCAATCTCAATCCAAACCTTGAGTCGGTTATGATTCTGTTGATGTTGAGTTCGTTGTATTAATTTTATATAATAATTTTTATTAGATTAACTATATTGTTTACCTGAAAATTGAAGTGATTGCACTTGAATTCCAACAACTAACAAAGCATATCTCATAGCTTCCATATGAGTTTGAATCAATTCAAAATTCGACTTATAGTTATTAAGTTCATCTTCTTTATTCTTCAAACTCTTTTTTAACTCGATTGTATCTGCACTTGAATTGTTTTCTTAGGCTTTGGTCCATATCCAAGCCCCGGAATGTCCTGGTCTCGTACCAAGTACCTCATCCATATCATCAATTTTAGGTTCTGCTCCTTCTTCAACTGGAGTTGATTGCAACTCCACCATTTTCTCCTAAAAAAATCATTCATATATAAAATAATCCTTAGATGAAAAATTACAATTTAATACTTAATTTTGTGAGGTCTTACATATTTTGCTTGTGCCTCAGATGTTGTCCATCCTTTTTCATTTGAATAATGAGTTGCCTTGAAGAAATCAATCCTATTTTGTTCTTCATCATCCTTGCGCTATATGATTTCAAAATAAAAATTATACTTTAAAATAAAAATAAACTTTATAATAAATATCAAAAGTGTCCAACTTACCATAGCATATCGGCTAGCGACAAAAGCCCGAGATCCTTGATTAGGAGTTAACTTGACATTTCTTCTAACTCTTGCATTAGTTTCACACTTCCTCTTCAATTATAAACATGTATAAACATAATTTATAATTTATTATAGAAATAAAAAAGAGTAAAAAATTATGAATCACATAAATCAAAATACAGTAGTCGTACCTGATATTCAGGATCACTAAACAAATCACAAAGTTGTTCCCAATTTTCTTGTGTCAAGTTATATTGTGTTGGTTTGGCATACCACAACATCATTTAGGAATTGCTTAAAATGCAAATGAACCTTATGTTGATGGTTCCTTGATAACTTTGACATAATTGACATGACAGAGCTCTTCACATAATCATCATCTAATTTCATCTCAAACTTTGACTAAAACATTAAAAAATATAATTAGATAAATTAAGTACATAAATATTAAAAAAAGAAGTATTAAACTAAATAAACTCACTTTGAGTCTCTCTAGGGCATGAAGTTTATCATTATCCTTCATATCCTTCCATTTTGTTGGTATTTATATGAATTGTCGTGAAATGATTCCAATTGCAGAAGATAATTTGGCTGATTAAATTGCTTCAATAGGTCGACCCTTTCCCTCTGGTATCTCTACTATCAACTTATTCTTACTTTTCATGAAATTTTCTAGTCCCTTACCTCGACTTGGTCCTCGTACCTTTTGATGTGATAAATTGGCTGAATCTATAGAATAAAAATATTAACTTTGGAATAATAATAAAATAAATAAATTATTCAACGTTTAAATAAAAGACTTTGCTACAAATAAAATAATATGTATATATACATATTCTTATTTTTTATATTTTTTAACTATATCATTAGTACTACTCAATCCTCTTTTGCTATTCATTTATATAAATATTGGAAATAAATGTTTACCTGAATTTTCAATTGTTGTATCTGGATCAATTTCTTCATGTGTTTGATTTGGAGCATCAGTAACTTGTTGAGGTTCATATTCTTGGGTTCGATTTAGTTTACTAGAGACTTCTTGATTTTCATTTTCTTGTGTTCGAATCTTTTTACGAAATACTTTGCCTGGTGCCATCCTAAAACATATAAAAAATATTATAAGTAATATATATTAGCAATGAGATCAGAATAATGCTGCTACCATTTGTGTTTAATAAAAAATAAAATAAATATTATATTTTATAGCCAATTAATCGAAACAATACTATTGAATTTATATAAATTACACGTGATATTCCACTACATAGATTTGCTTGAAATATGATTTCCCATGTGATTAAGGCCACCAACAGTGAATTATATAAGTTCATGAATGTGTTTTATTTTGTATGATCTAAGCCAAGTTTGAATTAATTCACTGGTATGAGATTCAAAACACATTCATATCCTACCCCAAGCTATTGACACTTACCTTCAGTTCTCGGCAAGGGAACAGCTTTCACAAGGGAAGAATATGAAATTCGTGAGGCATGAAATCTTCACTTGGCCTATAGTATTTGTCAAGGGAATACAAGCGTAAGTATAGAGCATGTGAATTAAGTCACAACTTTTAGCCAAAAAATAAAACTCCAACAGACGAGAACTCATGAATTCATAAAAAAAAAATCAGATCAAACATACATAAAATCACTTTTAATAGACAAAGAAGTGAGAATCAAAGCAGTCCCGGATGGAGGGAACGCAGAGAAGAATCAGGTTATATGAAAGGAGGGAAGAGAGTTCTTTGCTAAAAAGTTCTTTAAAATATATTAATAAATTATTTAATATATAGAAACTAAGTTAATTAAAATATATTAATAAATTATTTAATATATAGAAAGTCAGTTAGTAATTTTTTTAAAATATATTAATAAATAATTTTATGATTTTTATTGTATCTTATATGAAGTATAAGATTATTAAAACCCTAAACTGATTGTACTATAAATAACTATATTAATTATATTTATTTCTTATTATATTATTTTTTAAATTATTTAAAAATATGTAGAATTTAAAATAATATGATCGAAGCCAATGAGAGTTGGTACAGGTGGTTGAGATTCATAAATTTGAGCTTGTAAGGCCAAGTTTGAATCCTACCACTGTCACTCTTGGTGGAAAATATGTAAATTCCTATGTAAATCTCAATTGGATCTTAAGTATGCCCTGACCCTAGACTAAGATGGCACCCTGACCTAAACTTTATTGTACCAAAAAATAATACAATCAATTGTACGTGTTGCTAGGGAAAGCTCATAAGTAGCACACAATTTGAATAAAAGTTAAATACTTTTATGTTTTATCCAACAATTATTGAATAAAGAGTGGACGATTTGAATCTATTAACACTCATAGTCCGAACGCATGCTATAATTAGGTGTGTATAGAACTCAATTCGACTAAAAATTGATATTTTCAAATTGGTTCGACTAAAAAAACTCAACTAATAAGTTTACAGACTTAATTCAACTTAAAAGATTTCAAAATCAAGTTTAGTTATAAATATAACTCAAATAATAACTCGAATAACTCAAAAAAAAAAAAACTTAAATGTGAGTTGAGTTATAAAATATAAGTCATCAACTCGAATAGGTCAAAATTTTTTTACTTGACTCTATCAAGCACTCACCCCTAACTATAATTAACTTACTTTCTATATACTCATTTTCACCGATTTCTATGTATACTTCATAATTTATATTAATTTACCAACTATATATTAAATAATTTATTAATATATTTTAATTAACTTACTTTCTATATATTAAATAATTTATTAATATATTTTAATCAACTATATATTAATTTACTAACTATAATTAACTTACTTTCTATATATTAAATAATTTATTAATATATTTTAAAGAACTTTTTTTGATTGAATATTAAAGATTTTTATAATTAACTTACTTTCTATGTATATTTGATATGTCTAACAGTTTATATGCTTATCGGGAATCTGTGTTATTCTTGTGGAGCCATCAATTGGGGTTTTTTAGGTTTGTGTTGCTCCAAAAAGGTTCAAGAACGGGATTTGTTGAATTATTTGCTTATCAGGTTTTTTCATCAACAGGTATGTTGAATTATTTTCTACTTGCTATAATGTTGTGATATAAAGCATACAAAAACTGCATCTACTTGAATATTTGGTTTATCTTGATGCATAAGAGCTTTGAATTCTGTAATTTTTCTATGATTAGGATGGAGGACAATGCTTGTTGTTCCAGAGCTTGAGAGGGAGGTTGAATTGCTTTGGTAATCAAGAGATAATCGAAAGGTGGATTTACATGTTTGATGTTTATCATGGAATTTAAATTTTGTATGAGACTGTTTGGGTAATTTATTGTAAAACTTTAATTCATTAAGAAGAATGTGTTGTAATCACACAAGTGGCATAACTTAGACGATATTCTGTTTTTGACTTGATAGGAATTCGTTAGTCCATATCTATATTATCTCATGGTCCATCTATCTGTTTGGTAAGATTTAAGGATAATTCAGCCCAAAACATGTAGAAGTTTTAAAGCATGAAAACTCTTACACGTTCCTATTTTATAATAGCATTTTAATTCCTTGCAACCGATACATGTACGTTCATGCAGCAACTAAGGTCGTTGAGGAATGAGCGTGATCTTGTTGAAGACCAAGTTCATCATTTGAAGTGATCTCTCAAGTAAGTACTGATTTTATGATTTGATCATTCAAATTGATGTCATCAATTCTGCTACCCCTTAATGATGTCTTTAGTATCATTACCCCTGTTTTCACACATAATGACAAAGTGAATAATTCTATCTTGGAACCCTGGATTTGATATCTTCATTGAAGATTCACTTCAAAATTTCAAATCATTAGTACAATCAATAATTTTAATATTTTCTTTAGTAAATTTTGTTATTAATATTTGTTTGGGTTCCTTTTCCTTTCATTCTCATTTTAGCAAAGAGTTGTTCTTGTTACTTAGATTTGAAAGTCTTCGTGATGATGAAAACTAAGCAAATCATAAGAATGTTCTCTCTTAACCCCACAAACCACGTAACTTGTTTAGATAAACTTCAGGATTAAGGTTATGATGTATATATGTAATGACCCAATAACAAGTAGTTTAAATTATTTCACATCTACGAGTGACATCCCAGATAAAGCCACAAGTAAAGCGAGACCAACCTTCTTTTTCCAGTAGGAGAATTGAGTTTCATATGGCTCATTAGCTAAGAATATGTTCCCGTCTAAAGCAATGGTTGTTTCACATGTGATCTATGTTACTGTGAAGTTGTATTATGTTGTTTTAACTATGCTCATGTTTTAATTCTAAATTCATGTTTTTTTTCTAATTTAACTATTTGATCTTTTACTCAACCTCTTATATATATATATTTTCTTTTGTACTAGGATAATTTAACACCATGGATAAAAATTGGATGATGGAGTCCAAATATTCTGCGAACTATGTTGTAGTTGTTTCATCTTTCATGAAATTTGTTAAAAGCAATATGGGATCAGAATGTAAAATTCGATGTCCTTATCGGGAATGCGTAAATGTATGTGTTAGAACTCAGAATGAGGTGGAAGATCATTTACTTTTAAAAGGTATTTCAGGAAGTTATACCAAATGGGTTTATCATGGTGAGCAATTTGATTTCATTGGTAGGAGTGATCCATTTAATGAGGGGATATCTCATGATGTTGAAGTCTTAGATGATGGATTAAATGATTTATTAGGAGATTTGTTCCCCATATTAGATGAAGATCAAACAAATCAAGGTTTTAATTTCAGTGAAAGTGAAAAAGAAGGTAAAAGTTTCAACAATGTGTTGAATGATGCACGTGTCTTATTACCAGGATATTCAAGCATGTCTACATTGTCTTTTATTGTTAAATTGTTACATATCAAGGCTTATTGCCAAATGAGTAAAAAAGCAATAAATGTGATATTGGGACTAATGAGAGAGGCTTTTCCAAATAGTACAATTCCAGCATCATATTATGATGCAGTTAAAGTTATGAGAGAAATAGGACTTAGTTACATACCAATTCATGCATGCATATATGATTGTTCTCTATTTTGGAGGGAGTTCAAAGATAGACAAAGTTGCCCGAAATGTGGAACGTCACGGTGGAAGGTTGTTGAGAAGAAAATACCATGGAAAGTTCTACGTTATTTTCCGCTAAAACCAAGACTCCAACGATTGTTTATGAAAAAGAGTATAGCACAAGATATGCAGTGGCATGCAGAAAAGCGTGTTGATGATGATACATTAAGGCATCCGGCAGATGGAGATGCTTGGAAAGATTTCAACAAGGAGAATGAATGGTTTGCAAGTGATTCAAGAAATGTTAGGCTTGGCCTAGCAACTTATGGATTCAATCCATTCGGGAATATGAGTTGTACATATAGTATATGGCCAATTATTGTTATTCCGTATAATCTTCCTCCTTGGAAATGTATGACAGAGCCATTCATGATGATGTCATTACTTATTCCTGGAAGAAACTCTCCAGGAAAAGATATTGATGTCTATTTAAGGCCATTGATAAATGAACTAAAATATTTATGGGAAAATAGAGTGTGGACTTATGATGCTTACAAGAATGAGCATTTTCAATTGCATGCAGTTATTCTTTGGACTATAAATGATTTTCCTGCTTATGGGGAATTATCATGTTGGAGTACAAAAGGATATTTGGCATGTCCCATTTGTAATGTTGATGCACCGTCACGAAAGTTGAGAAATAAGATATTACATGTTTCATCTTCTTTCCCTCATCATGTTTGGAGAAAAGTAGAATGTTTGATGGTAAGATAGAAAATAGATCACAGCCGAAAGATGTATTTGGGATTGAGTTGTTACAACAATTAAATTGTCTTAAAGAGAATGACTTTGGGAAATATCCAAATAAATTGAAGAGGAAACGTACCCCTGAAGAGTTGAATTGGACAAAGAAAAGCATATTCTTTGATCTGGCTTACTGGAAAACAATGAAGTTACGACACAATCTAGATGTCATTCATATTGAGAAGAACATCTGTGATAACATTTTTAGGAACGGTTGAACATAAGGGAAAACAAAAGATACTGTCTTGCATGATATGTTGACACTCTTGAGGAGGAAATGAAAAAGTTTTGTTGTTTTCTGAAGTCAGTAAAGTTTCCTGATAGATATTCGTCGAACATCTCACAATGCGTTAATGTAAATGATGGTAAGGTTTCAGGGTTGAAGAATCATGATTGTCATATCCTTTTGCAAATATTGATTCAGTTGCCATTAGGGATTTCGTTCCGAAAGATGTGTTTCAAGCTCTAGATGAACTTGGAAACTTTTTCTTAAGATTATGTTGTAAGAAGCTAAAGAAGAATGAAGTAGAAGACTTATAAAAGAATAATGCCATAATTTTGTGCAAGTTGGAAAAGATTTTTCCTCCAAGTTTTTTTGATGTGATGGTACATTTGGTTATACACTTGCCTCGTGAAGTCATGCTTGGGGGACTCATACATTATCGATGGATGTATCCTATTGAGAGGTAATTCTTT